CTATGTAAACATATCTGCGGGGAGTGATGAGGTCGGAGCCTAGACGCCAAAATCTAAATATGCGAGTTGGCTGACTGAACCTGTTTGTTATCGTATTGATAAAACAAATTAAATATAACATGTTTAAGCTAACTCCATCACTTTCTGACAGAGCTAGGCTAGCTGTTTCCACCTTGTTTCTATTATTTATGCTAAGCTAACTGGCTACTGGGTCCAGCTTCATATTGAACTGACATATTAACAGACAGATATGAGGGGTATATCTTAAGCGAACTGTTCATTTAAATGGGTCTACTACTTATTATTATTATTATTATTATTATGTTTATGTGAAATTTTGTACATGCCGTAACATTGAGCAATTTATGTTTTCTTCATCTTTAAATCTAAAGGTTTTTACTCAAATATATTTCAGTCAGATTTAGCACAAGCTAATTTAGTTTTTGTTGTGCAGAATGAGTTGCCGTTAATGTTCTGCCAGAGATAGCAAAAGCCCAAATTGTGGACCCAGGCAGCATAGCACGTCTTCAGGTAAGTGAGCAGGGTACATGGCATAGGGCACAAGATGCAGCGCAGAGTGCAAAGAGCAGCGCGCTCCCTGTGAAAAGTAAAGGCAGCATTATATCAGGTTTCAACCATTTTAAAGTGTTCAAGGTTATAGAATTTGTTGTGAACTGAGGTGTGTCTTCTTCTTTAGGTAGATTAGTATGTGACTTATTGTACATGTTTAATGTTGACTGCATTCACTTATTATCACCATCTGCATGGCAACAGTTAGTGAACACCTTTTGGTGGGAAATCCAAACACAACAAGTGTGGTAAATCATTGGTTACCTTGCGCTTGTTCTTAAGACCAAAGAAGAGGACCAATGACTTTAGAATGAAGATTCCCTGAATGGTGCTGCCCATTATGATCACAGGTGAAATTTAAAGGACGGATCGAACATACCGTTGTTTTCTCTATCATTATTTTTACCGTCTTTTCTGCCATCTAGGCTTAGTCCGCCATCTAATGGAATATCCGCACTCCCATTATCATCATCCTTACCACACAAGGTTTCTCTAAATTTGGAAGTGAGCTTCTCTATGACACCATAGGTTTCCACATAGAAGACATGGTCATCATATGGGGGGCTGGCCATGAGGCGGAGGGACATCATATCAGCTCGGTCTACTCCCACTGCGTAGATCTCGATGCCAGATGCCCGAGCGGCTGCTGATACCTCCTCTACCTTATCCTGGGGCCTGCCGTCTGTCACTATGATGGCTACTTTGGCAATGTTCATGGAGGTAGATCGGGCCCCTGCATCCCCCGTGAAAGCTTTCTCCATGGCAGTCTTGATGGCCATGCCTGTCATGGTGCCTGAAGCGAGGGGCTCGACGCGAGCCAGCGCCTGCTTCAGGGCAGACTTCTCAACATACGTCTTCAGCATAAACTCGATCTGCACTGTGCTGGCATAATTGACGAGGCCGACCCGTGTCGTGTCTGAGCCGATCTCCAAGCTGTCCACCATGTCTTGCAGGAACTCCTTGGCCTTCTCAAACTCAGCAGGGCGTACACTGCGGGAGCTGTCTATGATGAAGACCAAGTCTATAGGACGATTTCTGCAGTTGGACCTTGTTGCTGTAAAATAAAAAGAATGTTCTGAATTAATTAAAATTGTATTTTCCTTTGTTTTGAGATTAAAGATACAGTAACTCTCACACAACTTATGAAAATGGAAATCTCGTGGACTATATACATGGATATAACATGCATTCACATCCTTGCACACACATACAGTCACTAAAGCACACACACTTCAAACCATGGTCTGACTGGTTGGCAGATTCACTTAAATATATATTTAAATCAATTCAGAAGCAAAAAAGCTGTACCAGATGCTAATAGTGCAAATAAAGTGCTACAATTGTAGGAGACTAGAGATAAATACTAATATCATAACAGCTAATGTATCACTTTCAAATACTAAATGCATAAATATAGCATCATGTAATAAGCAAAGTAAATAATATTTAGCTTTTATTATCTAAATGGTCCATCACAATGTAGTGTTAAAAGATACATACCTTCAAGTCATTATAGCCCTCATTAGTGCCCCCAAGTCTCCAAATGATGTGTTTTAAGAGTTGATCATTTAAAAAGTAAAAGGGGATGTACCTTTAAGCATCAATGTACTATGAACTCAATACAAGCTCTAAATGGGAAATCCCAACTAATCAACCTTTTCTCCAGTCATCAAATAATACCACTATGACCATTACTTTAAGGAAATAATATTCTAATGAAACTACAGTAAGATTGGCATCTCCATGAGTTGTAAAAAATCAGTGATTTTCATCCTCTTCTGGAGCTGTATCAGAAAAATATTAATGTTTTCATCCCAATGAATGAGAAACAAACTTTCTGACACATATATGTTAGGGGGACGTGGTGACCTTTATTTTGAATTGTGTATGACACTTTTAAATTTGCCAGAGAAGACTGTCCACAGCTCCACATCAGTCTTTTGGGTGTCAAGTGATAATAATGGCAAAGGTTAAGTACCTGCGGCAGTTCTCATAGATGCGGAAGAGCCACTAGAGAGTAGAGTAGAGAGAGCAGGCTGACGAGATACAAATGGTGTGGCTTTGTGTTGCAGCTGTGAGAGCGGCTGGCTTGTCTTTGGCGGCTGCTGATGGGAGGGCTGATAGCGATAAAACCTGGAATTAGTGCCACCAGCTTTGCCACAGGAGACGGAAGAGGCAGAGGGGAAAGCATTAGAGCAGTGGTTACTTTGGTTGAGCTCAAGCAAAATGTGATGACGGGCATGCATATGATTATTGGCTTAATAAGGCTTAAATTTCAGACTTTCAGTGTGAATATGACAGATGGAAAAAGAGCGTGCACTACATACTTTTTGGGCTGTTGCTGAAGACATACAGTATATATCATACAGTTACTTACTTTACTGTTATGCATATTTACTGATGCAATTATATTAGGACTGCATGACATGGTATTAAAGGTATTAAAAATTATAATTTTATTGATTAATTATTTTGACAGATATTACAATTGCAATATGATTTACCATTAGTGGGAATAATCATTTTTGCATTACAAGTTTCATTTTAACTGAAAAAACTATTAAAATCAGGACAATGTGACATTTGTTGAGGTCTGTACCAAACAAACCTGTTTTCTTACATCTCAAATTTGTAGGCCATCTCTGCAGAACTACAGTACTTCATTATAATGCTGTTTTGTTCCACATTTGACCTTTATCAAACACATTGCCGTTTCTGTGATTTGGATATTGCCCTTGGCCATATAGCTATTTTAATAATATTTTGATTCATTGTGCATCTCTAAATTATATTCCCTAATTTATGCTGTATAATTTGGTCAAAACTTCATAACAAATACAATATATTATATTTTAATATATATATAGTACAATATAATATAATTATAATATTTCAAGTATGATGGGAGAATAATGTGTAATTTTAATTGAGCCCAGTTTGTGCCTCTCATGTATTAACAATGCATTCAAGTCACAGAGCTAAGCAGCCTATTTACTGAAAAATAAATACCCAGCAATCTTTGAAAAACTTGGAAGGCTCCTTAACAACACTTAGGCTACTGCTGTTCTGGAGGTATTTGCAGAATGCAAAAAGGCTCCACTAAGCATATGTAAGAAAAAAAAATATATATTCAATATTGCACGTCTTTTTCTTCATTAAAACAACCATTGTAGTTATAAATTACATATTTCCTTGCTGAGTTTGTACAACATGAACCAAATGTAACCTTTCATTATCACTCATAATTCTTTCTCATATTATGTATGTATTTTCATACAAAATGGCAACAAAGCATTCATATTTTTCTTATGTATTACAAAAGGACAAAAACATTATGTAATGGAAAAGTAAGTAAGTTATTTTCATTTATTTCTTCCATCCATATGGTTAGAATGGACTTTAAGGATTCTGCAAGCAGCTTGAGAACAGCAGCAAGTGTTAGCAGCCACTGGGTCTTCAGGTTATTTATGCTTAGCTCTGCGACTGTGTGATACATGAGCGCCATTCACTAATAATTGGTGCAGTTTTAAAGTTTATAAGTTTGCACCAAATGGCGTAAAACTGCATTAGAGGGTTATTGCGCACATCCACAGCATGCGCAGCAGGTGGATGGACATTAGGACACACAGCATCTGCAGACCAACCTCCACTGGCGGTTGTCCGTGTCTCCTGCGTCAGGTAGTTGTTGGCACCTGTCCGGGCACCCTGCTGCTGGAAGCCTCGGGGTGCGGAGCCACCCAGCTGCACCTCTTGGAAAGTTTCAGCACTTGGTGGTTCATCAGAGGTTTGTTCGATAGATTTGATGTCTTCAGAGCGCTGATGGACACTCGAAGGGATTTGCGGGGACACTCGTGGGATTAAAGGACTAATTGAGTGAATCTTCCGGTTGCGTGACCCAGACTGTGGGAGATTTCCCAGAGTTCCCGATGCCAGGATGCCAGTGAGACAGAGCAGTCCCCACACTGATGGAGTCATGTTGCCTGCGCACAGTTGTTTTCCGTCCGTCCTTCGGCCCACTACCACTGCTGACTATTTATATGGTCTGATCCACGGCCCACAAGGCGTGGGGGAGCAGGAGGCCCAATCCAGAGACATGTGGAGGAAGTGAGGGAAGGGGGGCACAAGTGAGGGTCTCACTTCTCTATAAAGTGTAGTCTGAACTAGAATGTCCTGGATTTATAGTTACATTCACAGTCATTTCTATTATTATATTATATGTTGTATTATTTATTTAATAAAGAATACAATGTGCATTTCCAAATAAGACTACATAGACTATCTAGACTACTCCTAAATCAAACATTGAAGGCAATAATCATTGGTGAAATAAAACTGTTTTCTCAAGTACTGTACTGTTGAAAGATAAAGATTTTGACCTAAAATATAATCAGCTTATAAAAAATACATGCATTGTTATGCAAGTAGCTAACAGTAGCTCCACATAGACCAGATAAAACATTAAAATGCTGCTTACACCTTAATGCAGTGGTCCACAACCCTTTTCCCTATGTGACCCCTTTTCATCATCATTTATTGAGTAAAGTGATGACCCCTGACTAAGTGATGTGTATTTTATGGCTATTCCATATTATATTCAAAACTGTACAATGAACCAGTGAACTCGGGAAGGATTTGAATGAAATTTAAACCAATTCTCTGTCTGTAGCATGTCTTTTTTGTTGTTGTTTTTGTTTTGTTCTGTTACAGTCAATTCAGTGTTTTTAGTTCTTTGGTTGTTTGAACTTCCAGCTACCAATGCAGGACGAGGCTGTTTATCACAGAGTAAAGGCTCTGTGAATATAACTTATGTTCAGTTTAAATCTTAAATAATAATCTAATCTAATAACAATTACAATAACAATAACAATTTTATTTAGTTTTCTTAAGAGATAAGATAAGATAAGATAGATCTTAATTGATCCCACACTGGGGAAATTCACTCGCTACAGCACCTTTTTTTTTTATAAAATTGAAAAATACAAGATAAGACAAAAATAGAGAAAACTAAATAAAAGTTGTATATAAACTATTTACAGCTTTTTTTATATACAGATGGGATTGATATAGAACACCACACAGGTCACAGCAGTAGATAGTGGCGTGGTGTAAAAATATATAATTGCACATTGACAAAAATAAATACAAATGTATAAATTAGCAGAAATATTTGCTATGAAAGCCTGAATTGATTTGCAAAAATATAATAATATAATATATATGCATATTACTCTAATTACATTAACTGAACAAATTACCATGATGGCATATGTGAGTTTGAACATAATCCTCTCTATTTCAAGGCACAAGATACTCAGTTAGCATGCTGCCCTCTCATGGGCTGTAGTGCAAACTGTGTCTAGCAGTTGCACATTTCCGAATCAGATTCCTGCCCTGTCTGAAGATTAGAGATCATGAAGACTGATAATGAATTACATAACTGTGAATGATGCCCCCTGTATGAGCAATTCAAATCACCTCCCAGTTCTCGTGCCAATTATTTCAGAGATGTGTTGGGAATAGGAAGTGTTTTGTATCAAATAACAGGTTCTGTCTGCCAATGCAAATGATCCTTTGACTTCCCACAAGGTTGGTTTTATAAGAAGTGTTGTTCAGGTATTAGTTCATACTCGAGCGAGAGGAACAAATGCATACATGTGTTCACCCCCGTGTATCCACAATGTTGTTATTGCTTTTTGTCAGTATCCTGAGCGCATTCTGCCCTTGTTCAGGAGAGAATGGTCTTCTGCATGCATACTCCCCTGGGGACATCATCATTGGAGGACTTTTCCCTGTTCACCGAGAAACCAATAGGAGCACAATGCCTGGGCCACTTAAATGTAGCGCGTAAGTATGACCTCATTGAAATGAATCAATTAACCCATTAATAAGTAATGACTACATTTAGTATGTTAAGGAAAAGCCTTGCAGAATCTTTCCTGTCAGAGGTGGCAACACAAAATCGGCTGTGGAAGCTGTCAAGATGTGGCTACACATGAGAAAATCGGCATTTTTGATTCCACATATTTATCATGCCTAAATGGTAGAAGTTGATTTTCTTTTAAAAATGCAAAATAAACCCTACAAATATAAGCAGATGTTCCACGCTTCCTGGAAAACCTAGATATTTAGAGACTTGTTTGTGGAAACGTCTGGAAATTGATTAAAATGACCAAATATACTGGAAATAATCTATGTTTTATTGGATGCCTCAGATTGCCTTCATAAACCTGGGTTAGAGGAAAAAAAATGTCAAATCACTGCAGAAAAACACTGACCACCTACCTGTAATGAATCTGAGACACTTCATCATGGACAAACTGGGAAAATGTGTAAATACTAGGCCTACTGTCAATTTATATGGCTGTTGTGAGCAAGTGGAAAGAAAATTTGTTCTTAGAGTGAAACCCAAAATGTGGGAACCCTGAATAAGCCACTTTCAATATTCATTTGTTAAGGTGACTATAATATATTCAATAATTTGATCTGTCCTCTTTTTTTTTTTGAAGGTATGATTTCAGGTCATTCCTACACACTCAAGTGATGATATACACCATCAGAGAAATAAACAAGCGCACACCAAGGGTTCTACCTGACTTCACCCTAGGATATGACATCTATGACACTTGTGGAGATGTCAACTTTGCCATCAGAGCAACGCTCCAGCTGCTGAAGAACCAATCAGACCCCCAGAGGTGTTTAATACCTGCAAGCTTTCAATCTGCTTTACCTGAACCCCAAACAAAGGCAGTGATTGGTGAAAGATATTCTGAAGTATCAATAGCTATTGCACGAGTTATTGCTCTGTCATCAGTGACCCAGGTTTGTTCTCCCCATTAATACTTTCCCAAATACTACAGTGGAAAATGAAAAAGATTTTGAATGCCTTTGTGTAGTCTGAGGCTAATGACAAGATTGTGACAGAATTCCTATTTTAATTTAAGATTCTGTAACATTTAATGCAATAATGGTAACAAATATCATTCTTGTGTCTCTAGATATAAACGTTGTTTCATGATTTGTTCCTGTTTGTTCCAGATTAGTTATGCATCAACAAGTGAACACCTCAGCAGGAAGTGGAAGTTTCCCACTTTTCTGCGAACAATATCTAGTGATGAGCATCAGACACGGGCCATTGCTGAGCTGGTGTGCAAGTTTAATTGGAAATCCGTGGCCATTGTAGCAAGTGATGATGAGTACGGGAAGTATGGCAGTGATAACCTTGTGTACATCTTCCGTGAAAAAAAGAATATCTGCATTGAATTCATTGACATCCTACCTGGTAACTTTTACGAAGACCTTACGAAGGTGAATGAGCTGGTGAGCAAAATTAATAGATCCTCTGCCGAGGCCATCATCATGTTCACCAAAGACACCAATGTACGTCCCATCATGCAAGAAGCCATTAATCAGACATTCAACAGGACTTGGATTGCAAGTGATTCATGGTCCACCTCTACAAAAGTTTCCCAACTGGAAGGCATTGAGAAGGCCGGGGAGGTTTTTGGATTCATCTCTAAGATGAACGAGGTGCCTAGCTTCAAAGACTATGTCATGTCAACGTTCAATGGAACCACTAACGCCATTCTCGAACATTACCTGACCCATTATCCACTTTGTTCTAATCGGCCTGATGAGAACATAAGTGCCTGTTTTACCACAAACAGCCAACCCGGGTCCGGGCAATGTCAGGACATAAGATGTGTGGCCGATAACATTGACCAGGATGAATTATACAATGTTTACCTAGCTGTTCAAGTCATTGTTGAGGGTCTCAGACACTTGCTGAAGTGTGACAACCAGCAGTGTAAACATAGCGGCAAATTTACAGCCCTGGAGGTACAGAGGAGTTATCTTTCTGACATATTTTTCATATTGATATTGCATGTGTCTTTAAACCAACAGGAAATACACTTATTTGCACTCCTGCTGAGTCCATATTCTCATCTAAAACTCTGCAAGAATCCAAATTAGGGTATTTCCAAAAATATCAAACTGAAAATGCCTTTTTAAGTCTTCTGTTTTATGTCAGTAAAAGCAACAATAACAAAATGTAATGATTGTCTCCACAGCTTTTTAAGGAAATCAAGAAAGTCAACTTCACTGTGAACACCACACATATATTTTTTAATGACAAAGGAGACCCCAGTTTAGGGTATAATATTGTGTATTGGAACATGACTAATTCCACACGCATAGAAAGTATTGGAGAATACTGGCCAGATAGAGAAGAAATCATAATCCCATTTGATGTTGTTGGAAAGCGCAATGTGACGGTGAGGTCAGTTCATCACATATTTATTTCTCAAAATAATTCATGTGTATCATGTCGCACTCATTCTGTTTTGTCTTTAAAAGGTGACTGTTTACAACTGCTCCAAAACGTGTGCACCAGGGCAGGAGTTGAAAATGCAAAGCAAAAAGTGCTGCAAAGATTGTGTTCCATGTGCAGACGGGGAGTTTTCTGCTGGAAATGGTAAGTGTTTTATTATTAATCTCTAGCAAGATGACCAACAGTCATCTCATCTCAACTCAACAGTTTCCTTCCCTTCCTATATCATCCTGTCTACTAAGGGGATCTGTACTACTACAGATACATAAATGAGAATATCATCACATCACAGTGCTGTGTGAATGTATATATATATTCCATACCACAATCAGCCATAACATTATGAGCACGGACAGGTGAAGTGAATAACACTGNNTGGGTGGGATATATTAGGCAGTAAGTGAACAGTTTGTCCTCAAGTTGATGTGTTAGAAGCAGGAAAAATGGGCAGCGTGAGGATTTGAACGACTTTCATAAGGGCCAAATTGTGATGTTAGACGACTGGGGACTCTAGATGTATGGTTTATATTATGTATTTATTCTCTGTGTCTGCTGTAAGGGCTGTGTGAATATATAGCATCAAATATTTTATCTTTATTTATTTATCCAAACAAACTGTACGCAAATGATTGGGCTCTGGATCATACCTTGACACAGAAAACATGTCTTGACTCCACGCTGATATAAGCTAATATGTAACAATAATTTACATTATATATTACATTGCCCAAATACCACATTAAGAGTTGAATTAGCAATTGCCAAAGATATGGTAAACATTACAAATGGCATGTCCTGTTTACCAAGCATTCCAGCTTCTTTCTGGTTTTAGTACCGGGCCTTATGGAAATGGACTCACTTCTGTAGCCAGCCTCAAGTTTCCATTAGAGGAACTGCAGGTTTTGTTACTTGGTGTTGGCTTCATTTGCCAAGCACAGAGTTGCTGCTTGTGCATGAGTAGCATACCAAACATACTATTCAGTATAATTCTAATTGAGGACAGTCTTGTTTTCCCAAATGTCTGAGGAAGTTTTGCATTTATATGCAAATACTGTAGAACATTACTGTCACACTGCTGTACTGTGAGGTTGAGTTAGTGCGGTGGCTTGGTACTTCCTTCTTTATGCAAAACAAAATGTTTTTTGTCTTTGTCTATGTATTTCTCACACGATTCTTCTCAAAGCAGGGTATTGGTCATGATGAATATGCAACAATATAAAATTTACATTTCTTTGTGTACTCCCACAGGTGAGGAGTGTCAACGCTGCAGTCAAGCTGAGTTTTCATCTCCACAGAGGGATAAGTGTTTGAACAAAACAGTTGAATTCCTACAGTGGGAAGATCCCTTTGTTATCATTTTGAGTTGCTTGGGAGTCTTTGGGATAATTGCTACCTTTGTGTTCGCTATTTTGTTTACAATGTATCATAGCACTCCCATTGTGAAGGCTGTTGGAGGCTACTTGTGTTTCTTGGAGCTTTTTTCCTTGCTCGCCTGCTTCTGTGTTATCTTTACCTTCACAGGAAAGCCCACTAGGGTTACCTGCATGTTAGGCCTGCCTGTTTTTGGCCTAGGCCAGTCCCTCTGTATGGCCTGCATTCTGGCCAACCTCTTCCAAATCTTAGTGGGCTTCAACTTTGATCCTAAGATAGGGTCCTGGATGAAGAAGCTCAATCGGCCGGTGGCTGTGGTGACCATAGTCTTTGGGGTCCAGTTGGCCATTTGTGTATCATGGCTGCACTTTAATCCCCCATTTCCTGATAACGAGACATTAAACAAGGCCATCATGTTGCAGTGTGACAAAGGCAATGACAAGTTCTTCATAGCCATGTTAGGCTACAATGGTTTCTTGGCCGTCAGCTGTTTACTGTTTGCATTCAAAGGTAACAAGTTGCCAGATTTGTATAAAAATGCACGTTTAATCACCACCAGTATGATGCTGTTTTTAATCATTTGGATCCTCTTAATCCCGATTTATATCAGTTTGATTGGGAAGTACAAACGCGGCATTGAAGGTGCAGCCATTCTAATTTCTAGCTACAGCATCCTCTGCTGTCACTTGGCCCCAAAGTGTTACATCATGGTGTTCAAGAAAGAGATTAATAATCAGAACGCCATCACCGAAAACATCAGGAAGCATTATGAGCAGAAAAACATGGCTGTGATCAAATCATGACCTCGCATGTACATTTATAAATTCTGTGCGGGTGATCGGTAACAATTAGCCACACTAAAATCTCTCCTCCTGTGGTGAATTCACAGCCACTGTGTCTCTCTTGCCCAACACCACAGACTTAGATAAGTGCTTGAGTGTGAGCGGCTGTTTAAAAGACATATTTCGAAACATAATCTCAGAAAGAGATTTATTCATCCTAGCACACCACTTTATTACCAACAAATCTGTCCTGTTTTATTGTTAGAATATATCTTTACTGGTTGGGGTTTTACTTCATTTTATTTCTGTATGATCTTGATTTAGTTACCTCAGTGCTGAAATGTTCCAATGCTGGTTCAACCATGTAAAGCACTTTGTAACTTTGTTTTTGAAAAGCACTGTATAGATAAAGTGTATTATTACAATTATATTATATTATCATATCATTTTACCTTTATGATGCTAAACATATAAGCTACAATTATGAGACTTTTTATTTCATATTTATTTACTTTCTTCATGGCAAGGGCACTTAAGGGACCGTCTGCCTGATTTGACCATCTTACAGAGTGGACGAGATGTGTCAAATAATCAATTTACTCATTTTTGTCCAAACAGCATCACACGCGTCTTTTTCTCGTTACTCCTCCCATGTTTGTTTGCCATTATTTTAACACTTCAGGATTTCCCCTGATAGCGACGTTGTTTAACACCACATCACTGTGAACCTTGGGTAACTCCCTGCAGAAAAAGTTCAACATTTTGGGAAATACGTGTATTCGCTTTCCCCTGTCATAGCTGTCCATTACATATGAAGCTACAGCAAGAAGCCTTCTCTGATTAGGAGGAAAGACGTGGTTCACTGCCATTGTATATACAATGTACACACAACAGATGTTTCACCATAAAGGGCTATATACTGTCAATGAATAAACTTTGCTTTTCTGTGTGAATCCTGCAGTCCTTCTCCTCCTGTGTACCTTGAACATTTGGTCCATGGCATGTTCATTGTATAGACAATTAATCTGCTCCACAGTGGAAAACAACACTACATTTACTCTTAAGGTTAACTGATGGTAACAGTTTTAATAGAAACTTAGTCTCTGGAACAAAGTTTATTAGTTATCTTGAAGATTAAGCATCTTATATAATCCAGTTGTTGCGTTGTGTGGAATCTTTAAAGGTCAGGTAAGACTAGAGGGATGATTTACATTCTGTTTAAAGACGTTCTTTTAAACCACATTTGGTGCATGAGTGCCATTTGAGTAAAGGGGCGTATTTCAGGGTTGATTCTAAGCTGACATGCAAAATCAATTAGATTGCGTGTGTGAAGCAGTTTTGAGTTGAAAGGCAGATAACGGTGAAAAGAAAGAAAATTAATGTCACAGCTATTTGATTAATCTGCTAATTATTTTTCACCATTAATCGATTCATCGTTTAGTCTATAAAATGTCAAAAAATGTGGAAAAAACTTCACAATTTCCCAAAACACAAAGACTCTTGATTTACAATGACTAAAAGCAGCAAATCCTTTCATTAAAGAAGCAGGAGCAAGCTGATGTTTGACATTTTGGGTTGAAAAAAGATATAATTACTTGGTTATCAAAATAGTTGGCAACTAACTTTCTTTGGACCTACTAATAATTGCAATTGTTATTGAAAACTCTGCATATGCAAAGCTGAGAATGTTACACTGGTTTAAAACAGTTCCCTCTGCAACCACTAGATGGGACTCTTGCAACATCCCGTTAATAGCTTTCTGAGTACTAATACTGCCTATACAAGTACTCCAAAGCATTTTGTACATATGGGACATTAAAAAACACACAACATCCATAATTCGGCTCTGCACCTAATGTTTTATTTATTAAAAAAATACAAAACTTCAAAAAGTTTCCATAGGAAAGCATTATGATTTTGCAGTCCCGTCTCTTTCGTATCCATTTCAAATGTATGGTTAAACATGGCTTCTTGTCTCGAACAGACTTCTTATCTTCTACAAGTTACAAAAAAAAAAAAAAAAGATAAAATAAGGAGAAGAGGAGAGGTGCAGTGTGCTTCTTGAGTCCCTGTGTTTTAAGTGTTAATCTTGAAGATGCGTTTCTGCATTTGTCTGGGTCACCAGACAAATACAAGGATTACATGCTTGACGTGGGTAATGGAAAGGTCTGTTTAGTGTATGTAAATATATTGGCGTCTGACAAGTAGTTTCATATGCTGCAGCCATATTAGCACAGAGATGCACTGTGTGGTGTTCTGATATGCAGGATGTGATGCATGTATGCATTTCCTTTGACTCAGATTACCATTGAGTTTTGGCTGGTGAGTGAAACAAACCTACCAGTCACTTGCATTTGCCTGGTGGTAATTGTGTGCCATGTTTGTAGCTATGCATATTTTGTTTTGGATGGGAAGATCAAAGATCAGATCATTTACAGAACACAAAAACACTGAATATAGCTAGATTATGATTGCCAGTAAAAAAAACAAAAAACAAACATCTTTAGGACTAACACTTGGCAGGTCCTGTATAGAAGTGGAGATCATGGGAAATATAAATACATAGCAGCCATTTTTGAGGAATTAAATCACCCTTCCAACCACCTCTTTGCGAGTTACTAGCTAGGGATGTGACTTCAGCTGTTAACAGGGCTTTAATGATCAGCAATTTAATAAACCAACCCTTTACATTTTGCAGGTCAGTTAGCACTGGTGATTGCTTACGCTGGAAGCAATCTTCTACTATACTTTTATATTATAAAAGGAATAGCACTGGAAACCCTTCACCTCTTGGGACTGCTGCTACAGTCAGTAAAAAGTAGTTGTGATTTTTTTCAAGCAACAAGTTCCTCTCCCTACACTACTCCAGTTCAGTAAATAGGTTCTTCATCAACTACAGTCAGTTCCCCCAAATTAGGACAGGAAGACTGCAGCAACAAGTTCAAGTACAGAGTTGCCCTGTCACACTGCCTGGAACACACAGAGACACTCAGAGTGTGATTCAGCCTCATTTCATTGAGGGTTGATCCCCAGCTTCCATACAGAACGCAGAAATTTGCACAAAATGTCCCTCTCATTCTCCTGTCAAGTAACTGGCCTTGAAATTTCACGCAGATTTGGGGTGAAGAAAAAAAAACAAATACAGAGGATGCGAGAACACTGCCGTAATGTACAGTACGAGTTTAAACCACATTGGCCTGGCAGGCCTTCGTGGGCATCTCCAAGCTGCTCTCTCGGCCACAGCAGGCTGGCACTTCGAACAGGCAAGACTCCTCCACAGGAGCTGGCATGCCCTGGGAACAGATCTGCTGCACTTGTTGCCTGCAGAAAACAATGGCGATAAAAGTTAAGATTGCCTAGGAACACAAACTTGCATGATCATACACCAGAAAGTAATCCATTACAGACGACCGCTTTCAGATCCTGTGGCATTTACTCACCAGGCAGGGCGGGACATGACATAGTAGATGTCAGGTCTCTGGAATCCGTTAAAGGTGGAGGAGGCGGCCACGGTGTAGGCACCCATGTTCTCAAAGACAAGCCAGTCGCCCACCTGCAGGTCAGGCAGGAAACACTGCTCAACAATGCGATCAAGGCCGTCACATGTTGGGCCCCAAATACTGCAGGGATACATGACCTCATCTGGCTTTGGCTTCTATGAGTAATAAGAGGTGGAGAAACAAACACAGAAGAGTTAACCATTTGTTTCACCATTCACTGAAACATTTATATGACCAGAAACTTGGTTTCCATTTCAATCCCATAACTTCACTTACCTTGTGCAGTGTTGGCAAACAGTGAGCATGGTCATAGAGAATACAGTTGAAGGATCCGTACACTCCATCGTTGACGTAGTACATCAGAGTCCTATCATTGGTCCCTTCGTCTTCCTCTGTGAAGGAAGCATAAATCATTTTACTACTGAGAAATGTTACAAATCTGATTGCAGAATAAATTCTTTTCTAATTCAGTCTCTTTAAATCAAGGCAGTTACCGTCAGAGGCTGACTCGTCATCCATGATGACCTTCTTGGCAATGACGTTGACAACCAGTGTGTAAGCAGACGCCACATAAAAGCGCCCTGGCTCAGCAATGACCCTAATACCAGTGTCCGCAGGGAAATACTTGTCCAGAGCTGGGGTAATTACTGCTGTGATCTAGCAAAGGAAGAAAGTATCCACAGGTAAATATCAGAATAATAAAACAGTTTTCTAAAATAAACAAATATTCAGCCTATAAAATGCCACAAACCAATAAAACATACCTCTTCAAACTGGAGTACAGAATCATCTGAACCAGGGAAACCACCTCCGATATCCAACAGGTCCATGTTGAAGCCCAGCTCATCCTAGAGGGCACAAAATTGTGTTAAGTTTTCTAAGTAAAAATCTACACATCAGTTGTAATTTCCCCACGGGGATTATTAAAGTATTTCTGATTCTGATTCATATGCAATTCTATAACAACTCACCCCCATATCAAAGACACAGCGGGCATCAGCGATAGCCTGGGCGTAGGTCTCGGGATCAGTGCAGCCACTGCCAACATGGAAGCTGACACCGATTACATCCAGCCCCAGTTCTTTAGCCCGCTCCAGAAGTCCTCGACAAGCTTTGAGTGGGGCCCCAAACTTCACACTGAGGCGACACACTGCCTTTGAGTCGTCTGTGGCAATACGCAGCACCAGCCTGAGCACAGCAGAAACAGAGTTAGTGAAGGGAAATGCATGGACTGAAGGCAGATAAAGAAAATACCACCACAGCTTTCTTATTAAGGAATTTAATTCTTACTTGGCATTGTCATGACAGCGGGCCACTTTCATGAGTTCCACCTCACTATCAAAGGTCATCATCTGGACCCCATGGGCAGACGCATACTTGATCTGAGAAACTTGCTTGCAGGGGTTGGCATAGATGATTCTGCTTGGATCCACTCCCAGAGACTGAACCAGCTGAATCTCCATCTAGAGGGGGACAATGCCAACATTTAAAAACACGAGCTGCCAATGCAATTTCATCTAATCATCAAGAGAGCTTTGTATTGTCATTCTGAGACCATCTAGTGCCATGGAAATTTTCCAACACCCACCTTGCTTGCACAGTCAAAGCCAGTTCCCAGGGAGGCCAGTGTCATAACTACAGCCCGACTGTCATTGCATTTGACAGCATAGAAAGGAGTGACGCGAGGCAGAGCCCTTGCCCAGCGCAGCTGTTTCTTCAGCACATCTCCCAAGTCGCAGACATAGAAGGCATCCCGGTCATCCTGTAATAGGATGGAAAAAGGTTATATGCGTTTAACAAAAGCATTTTTCCAGTATAGAATATTACATGATGCACTGCAAATAGCACTAATATGACAGACAAGGCTGTAGTGTAGGATTTCAGTTAAATAGCTTGCGTCTCAGTTGCATCCTATTGGCATTCACCACATAACAAATGGGCCCTTCTGTGTATTCCCTAAACAATGTCAGCACAGGACACTTACCGTCATGGATGACTCATTTATCTTCTGCTCAACAATGTCTCTGGCAGAGAAACCCTCCTCCAGGAAAGAGAATTCAAACTCAGTGGGAGTGGCAGTGTTCATGGTCACAAAACGTCCTTTTGATTGGTTGCTAGTAAACTGGAAGAGGGAGGGGAAGACATATTGAGATTGCATTCAGCTTTGAGAACACAGTGTCTTTTGTATCCTACTAAAGTCTATTTTATTCCCTACTCATGGGAAAGACTTGAAAAGTGCAAGTGTGAGCAATTCTCAGAGCAGGATACTTGACTAAATTACAATTTTGTTACAGTATTATCTCTACAAGATGACAATGCAGAATTTAATCAAACTGCAGACAGAAAGTGGGACACTTACTTGAATATGAAAGAGATGGAACTTAGTGTTGCTGTTACTCAGGTGCAGAGAAGCCAAGGTGGTTCACCAGTGAAATTGAATCCTTTCAAATAAGACTCAATGCCAGGGCCTGCTGAGTAGCCAGTGTGTCTTCTCCTAGAGTGAGTATTCTGTAAAGAGAGTTAACAGTATTTAACAAAAACTGGATTCTCAAGGGGAAAGGGTAAGTCAGGAAATTAACAGAACTATCTATGACTCAACTTAGTATAGTTAGTAGTGGTTTTAAAGCTCAATAAATTCAATACAAATGCGTGTGAATTGCTATAAATTCAGAATAGTATATTTCTAAATTTAACACAAACTTAAAGAATATTCCATTAAACCCATTATGATCGACTTGAAACTGACAAGACTGCGCAACACATACGCAGCTAGTCTCGTCCTAATAGCGCTCCATTTTATTACTATGGCATGACAACTTGACACCATTTGCACACAAAAAAAAGTCACTGAAACTACGAAGTGTTTAAGGCCCGCCCAGAGCACATTTAACCCAATTACACGAAGACCCGCCTTTGACGCAAATAACGGCATCAAAATTAACCAATCAGTGACTAACAAGTGACGCAAGCACGGACATGCCGGTTCCGTTACAGCTCTTCATGCCATGAGGCAATTTAACATTTACGTTAACGTGGTTTATTCTACTTTACACAGGCAATTCGAACATTTGATTAGTGTAACACCACATCACCGAAGTCTATAGCCCGAAAAAAAGTTGCCACCGCCAGCAAACGTTATGTCGATTTAGTAGTTTCTACAGAATGGTTGCCGCCTGACACACCGGCCACGTAGCGTTAGGAACATAAACCCAGAACGATTCCATTTTAAATCAAATTGACGCTATGGTTACGGTGAAATAGTTAGAATACCCTGCCCTACTAACTTAAGTTCCTGGTTCATTGTCCATTTTAAGCCGCCATAACCGAATGAGCCTGCTAGCTAACATTTGCTACCGTCAATTGACAAGCATTTAAGTAAGCTAAAGCGTGACGCTCTTAGTAATACAAAATGGAAAAGTCTTACCTTAAAAAGCATTTACAAAGAGTTTGTCCATTAGACCCGATGCTAGGATTAAAAAAAAAACAGCAGTTCCCTCACAATGAAGTCCGCTGCAGGAGTGCCGGAGTGCCGCCTCTCTCACTGGGCTATGACTGCTGTGGAAGCCGGCAAAGGAACCCGAGAGTATTTATAGAGAGCTCGTTACTATGGCAACGCAGCCAGCTGAAACCGGCCTCCCATCCACGTATGAACCGGTTTATCCTTGTCACCTCATCCACATGGTGGGAAAGACAACGACCACAGGGAAGATTACAAAAGGTAACACGGCCAGTTCAAACCGGCCTCCGCCAGTTAACGAACGTTAGTTAGCTCTCAAAGAAATATCTAGCCTCATGTTGTAACATTAGCGTTACTTCTCACATTGAAGTTGTCTCTTTTATCAGGTTTCCTTATCTCACTGAAAAAATAGATGTAACGTTAGATTTGATTTGTAGGAACGATTAAACTCATCTTATAGTTAATTACATGTTTCAGTCAAGTTTCACCCAAGATGCCAAACAATCTCTGGTCCTAAAGTTCTCCAATGTGTGGATTTGATGCTTTTCTTTGTCATATATCAGTGATTCCCATCCTTTTTCCTTAAGGGACCCCCTTTTCATCATTGCCTTAAGTGACTTACCCCTAACAAAGTGACATCATTTATGGAGTTTATGTAAAACAAGTGATTTGGATGGATTTTGAGCAGAGATGAGTTAATTAGTCCTGATATTTTTGGGAACTTTTTTCCCACAAATTGCAATTTGCAAATAGTACAATGGCCAAGTGTCATGGAGAAGAAAACATAGAATTTGTCCGAATTGAAGCCTATTAAAGATTATATTTTAAGTTTTCTTACACCCCTTAAAAACAAGAAGGCTTTGCAACCCCCCCCATGAAGCTTTGGTGACCCCTAGTGGGGGTCCGGCCCCCCAGGTTGGGACCCACTGTCATATATGATGGTAAATTGAATATATTGGGGGTTTGGACTGATTTCCAGATAAAATAAGCACTAAGAAATGATATTGGGCATTTTCATTTTATAGACACAAATTAATCGCTAACGAGAATAACAGTCGCATCCCTCTGGAGCATATTTAATGCTTAAATCTACCTGATGTCACGATGATGCAGGACAGGTTCCCCTCGGCCAGCTGTGATGGAAGAAACCTGCACTGGATTTGTGTTAATCCCAGCGATGCCCAGTCACGCTGGCAGACTACAACAGTCTGCTCGCTCTGTCTGACCACACGGTCTCACTCATGTGACCGATGTTAACCGCAGTCTGCTCAGCCCCACTCGGAGTTCTTGACCTTTCTGATGAGATTAAAGGAGATCACTAAGAGAAGGCAAGGTGTCAACACAAGCACGTATGTCACAACAGCTTTGTGAAGGATGTCAACATACTATGAATGCAGTCGTAAGTATTGCTTGAGAAAGTGGTGCATTGTGCATTTTATAAGAACATACATATGCCACTGTAAGTCATTGGAAATGGTCTGCAGGATTTTTAGAAAGTCTCTTATGGTGCGTGGAAAATGCCAAGCACCAAATGCCTTTTCACTCAGTCCCCTCAAATTCCTGTCCCCCAGACATTTCCCCCTTTACTGCGCAGTCTAATTAGCTTAGGTTGCTTTCATAGACATTTGGTTTGCAAGCAGACATTACCAAATGGAAGAAAATGAAGAATTTGGTTAGTGTGACCCAACTGTACATGTGGAAATGTTGCAGGAAACTTTAGGGCTTCATGAAGACCACATATCTGTGGCCTTAACTTAATATCTTTTCCAGGTCTTGAGGCCACAATCAAGATGGCATTCTACTCTCTGCACAACAGGGTTTCCATTAACATTTTCTGCAGGGTTGGTGAATGAAGTCATATTTTCCGAGCAGTTTTATTATCAGAAAGTAAAAAGCACAGCCCTCTTGAAATGGTCAAAAAGGTAAAATGAGGTTCAGTGGCAAATTTGTTTGATGACATAATTGCAATTATTTCCATACAGTACATTGCAGCTTCCCTTATAGTCCTGCCCTGTATCTGAACTTGTTCTAGCAGGCTTCACCTCTTATAACCATGCCTGTCAGGCAGGAAGTGGGCCCACACCCGGGGGCTAATTCATTTTCAACAGATGTTTATCAGCTTCCTCAAAATCACAAGATCACAACACACAGCGCATTACGTAGCAAACCCGGGTTAGATTGTTTCTCTTTGCTGCGATCATTTCCTTTTGTTTCTGTTTTTGTCTTTCCTCCACCAAGTGTCTGTGTTTCTACCCTCTCCTTCACCCCTCTCCTTCTCCTCCTCTTGTAATGTCTATCTCTCACTCTGTGTGGACTTTCTGTTATCATTACTGTGGACCATTGTGGCCTAACCCCCACATTTACAAGGCCTCACGAAAGACAAGGATGAGGATTGTTATTGGCCACCCACAAGATACAGTGCAGTGTACGGGCCTTGGTGACTTGTGTGTCACACTGCATCTGGCTTTGTATTTCTCTTCACTTCACTACTTTTGTACAATGAAATGCCACAGTCAACTTATGTTCCTGTACTGTCCGGCTCGGTGTGCTGCATAATACGTCTTGTGACAATAAGCAGAAGACACACAAGCTTCCCAGACATTTCTCAAGAGAATAAACTGTACTCTTCCTCATTTGTACCAAAATGAGGAAAGCTGGTGCACACTACTCAAGTGAGATCCTCCATACAGTGTGTCCCAACACCAAAGATCAATGGTGATATCGTGAGGTGCAGATTTTTCTCCTTTTTGCACAACAGTAGTTAGCTGCCTCAGTGTCTGCTCTGTATCTCTGTTGGAAAGAGTTAGAGAATTAGTTAAAGTCGTACAGTGTGATGTAGGAAAACTTTATGAACAACATTTGTATATTTAGAGAATCTGGGAGTTTTAATGAGCCAGAGGGGATAGATGTCTTTTTAAGAACTTTTATGTGGAAATTATACTTTGTTTTGCAGAAAGAAACACACCAGGGACACATTATTATTCTGACTATTTGCAGACTATTTGTATATTTGTCTGGAGGGGATCTGATGTTTAGTGTACCTAAGCTGAAAAGACTTACCGGGTCATGCCACCAGCGTAGGTATGTGTATTAAGTATTTGTATGTAAATTTATTTTGTATGAAATTCTGTGAGCGTGTATGTATAATATGTTATCTGTATGCCATTCAAATAGTTTGTCTGTGTGTTGCATCTGCACTAGAAAATGTGTGAATACACTCAATTCTGTTCCATACTGAATGAATTGGTATATATGATCAAGGACAATTCATTCTGTCTCTTTTAGAAGATACTATATACAGCATAAAACATTCGTGTTGAGAAGGAAAAACTGTTTGGGAAATTCTGGGTGTTCACAAAAACTACATGGAACCCTCCAATGATACCTATGATAAATAGGCATGTCACAACTGTGTAATGTGTGTACATGTATATCACAATACCACACGACGGTTTAGCAATCACTTTTAAATTATACATACCTCATACATAAAATCTACCTGCAGTCCCTCATCCCAGGGTGCATGTCTTTGAGTTCAGAGCTGTTGACTTTTCACTTTATTTGAATACTTTTTAGAACAAATTTGAAGAATTAAAATAATTCTATGCAGACGAATTAGATTTTCTTATTTTCCTATTCCAGTACTGCCGATCCCCCGGTTGGGAACCACCGGTTTAGATCACTAAATGTGGCTTTCTGAACATTTTTTTTTGTTCAAACATCATATTTTAAATATTTCCATTTATTGAGCTATCACCATCGTTCCATAGGCTCCTATTCATTACCATATGACAGTAAATACTGCCTGTATAAGGTGCCTACAATCATAATAACTGTGGCTTCACATAGATCATAAACCTGTTACAAACAGAAGCAACTGATTCATTCATTTAAACTGACTCATTTATTCAAATTGCTATGTTGCTGTGAGTCAGGTCAGGGATTGGCTGTGTTAACAGGCAGAACCTATGTAAGCTTAACCTCAATATACCTGAGTATCAAGGCCCAGACAGCGACTTATGAGACCGGAAGTCTTAATGTTTGTCTGCATGGCTCTGGTCTGAGCAGATGGTACCTGTGGTGGTTCTTTACTCTTCTGACTGTGATCCATTTGTCCTTTGAGATTAGACAGAGTGACTTTGATGGGGCGAGCCCCCAACAGCATGTGACACACAGATAGCTTAATCAACTTAAAGCTCTGGTGACACACTCCACCCAAGACAGCTGCGTAGAGTTAAAAGCATTGCAACACACAGCCACTGAACCATGACTAGCCAGCCACAGAAAGAAAGTGCATTGTTTTAAATTGTATCGCAATCCCTTAATTAAGATACAAACCTGATGTGGGTTTTGGCATACCATGGAAAGAGTGGAGGTAAATGTCAAGAACTGTATTTTCATAAAATACACAGACAATGGGAGGCTTGTAATTTAGGTCATGCGTAGTGTCTGGCATGTTACCGCAATACCTTAAAAAAAGTAAATTGAAGGTTTGGTCTCATGAGTCTCCGCTGACTGAGCTCATCCATAGTCCTTTCATTCACTAGGCGGACGCAACCGCTGCCTCCTTGACATCTTGTCCAGGTATTTGTAATTATACCATTTTTATTGCACAGTTCTGTAATTTTTAAACAGTTCACAGCTTTCCTTCAGTCGAGCCGAGGTATCTTTTACTGAACAGTGGCCACATCTGGTAATTATGGCATAATAATGCTTAATGCTAAAACATATTCTACAGTAGCCCAAGTTGAAAAGAGCCATAAAGTTAGTTAAATGGCTCAGTACCTTCAGTTACACAGCAATACATAGTTTGCTGGCAGGGGAGTGTCCAGACTTTTTTGACTGGGCTGGCACTGGCTTATGCAGGGGTGGCATTAAGTATGTGTCTTCACTTCCCATCATTCCCAGTTTATGCAATTCCATACTGTAACAGGCACACAGAAATATTCAAATACACCAGGTGAAAATAACACATTTATATAACACATGACTGCGTGTGGTTAGCATTAAGTTGCCATGTCTGCAGTGGGGAGACTCGTGGGTACCATAGAACCCATTCTATCTCGTGGTCAGAGGGGTCCCTTTTTTAAAATGGCCTTCCCAGTTCTTCTATTGCCAAAATTTTGCGCTGAAGCATTGTTTAGCCCCATTCCCAACATTCTAGCAGGACGTGTTAATAAGAATGGATGCGTTAGGTTAGGTCCTCTTGTTACATATGATACCAGTATCTTCATTCTCGCTTTAATACGAAGCCTGCTACAGCCTCTGAAAGACACTGTGGAGTGGAAGAGGTAAAGGATAATGGGGACAGATGCTATTAGCAACGTGTCAAATGTCTGCTGTGAAAAAGGCCTGTTGCCAGCTGTGAGCATGTTAGCATTTAGCTCAAAGTACACTGTGCGTAAGTAGAGCCACGCAGAGTGTAAACCACAGATCCATGTACAGCATAGTGCCATGTTACCTGGTATTAGGGACATAATGTCAGTTATTGTCTGGAAGATCAAACTGCAGAGTGTAAGATCTCAATTGATTTAGCTGTATAAACTTACCTTTAAATGAGGAACAGCTTTTCTGAAATGACTTTAACTCCATTGGGTGGTTTTAATATCACCCCATCAAGACAAATATGTGACATGCTTATTTTTAAAATGTCATGTTGATAATGTTAAGATAGTTTGCAGCTCCAGTGTGTCTTGTATCATTATATGTATTGAATGTGAAGGTCAGAATAACACTAAACTTCCAACATCCTTGCAATGTTGAGGGTACAGGCCGTTGCACTTATCAGGCTGCTTTAACAAAGTCAAAGAGCACACTAGATGATAGAATATTAACCCTAAAACCTATTTTCACTGTACATGCATGGCTGGTACACAGATACAGTGCCTGTCAACTTGTCTACCCACTCGCTGTGTATCAGGAAGAAGATCTCTTCTATTCGGTGTCAGTATCCTTCAGTTTTTTATTTTCTGGTGGAGCGCCTGCTGACAAATCTGGGTCACATCTTCAGCAACCTGTGAAAGCTCCCTGTGACAGTGCCCTAGATCTATCATTCATTTGGTGTCTTCGTAGGTACGCCTGTGTGTCAGACAGACAGGAAGAGACTGTGAGAAACAATGTGAATACAAATCACTGCACTCTAAGTTTAAAGAGCGGTAACATCAAGAGGAATA